GGGGGCCCCGCGCCACGTGGAAAGCTTTTTTGCAGTTTCGTGAGTGGGCAGAGGGGGGCACCGTGCCTGCTTGCTTGTGGTGAAAATAAGGCTTGCAGAACGAGCATCAGGCTGCTAGGCAGCGTGTGAGGCGCCCTCTCTGGGCCGCGCAGGGGCAGCTCCAGCGGCAGTTAGTTAGCCCCTTTTTTCCCTAAGGAAATGCGGTTGTGTGAGAGCATTGCCGGAACACACCAATCCAAGGTAGGACGTGAAATGTCATGGAAAAGATCCCGGTTTGGCTTTCTTCTTGCTTTGTGCTCAATAAATTTTAACTTTTCGTTCCTGGATTTATCATCACGTTACAATATCGCCACATACGCTTGGTAACAACAGCGGAGTAACAGCAATGTACGGCAGCTCTTTTTTTTTTAACAAATAGGTATTGGTGAGCAGTTTGTTTCACATGCAGGTATATATTTACGACCAACCTCATACCAGTTTAGGACTAAATCTGGTGCTTTTCGTGATTTCACCAAACTTTATGAAATGACTCATGTTTAGCCGAGAATGGGCTATGACTTCGGAAGCGTAAAATAACGTTAATATAGTTCTCCAGGTATTGAAGCATTGTTTCAGATTTATTTCTGTCGTTGCTCGCAGACTGGAGGTAGCAAAGGCTACGGATTTATTGAGTTTGAGTCCGATGACGTGGCTAAGATTGTGGCAGACACAATGAACAACTACCTGTTTTCTGAGAGACTCCTCAAGTGTAAGTACAAGCTGAAGTGTAAGTCCGCTAACGTGCAAGGGAAATCCACTTCTGTTATTTTTTTGGACTGTTTGGAGTTTTTTTATGAAGTCTTGTCCCAGAAGGATTTCCTGTGGGGCTGAGGTTTTTTCCTTCATGGGTAAAGAACGCCCTCAGGAGCGTTTTGGTCACTGCTGCTGTTTTCCCCTCCAGGCTGACAATGCTCGTTGTGTAACGGCGTAACGGGGTTTGCTGCGGAGACAGTCCCTTTAATGTGGAAATTCTTTGTCGTTTTTAACTGTTACAGCCACTGTCTGTATTGTTAGACATACGGGGGTTTTTTTGATTAAAAAATTAATGAAATTAGCAAGTTTCTCAGACATGGTGGTACCAACACTTGCTTCGTAAAGGATCATGAGCTATATACGCGTTGACTTTTGAAACACCAGTTTCTCTGACTGTTTTCTCGGTGAAACTGAAAAGGTGTTCTTTTCTTCCACCCAGCCATTATCAGTTCTCTTACTAATGAGTATTTCATCACTTTCCATCTCCTGTGTTCATGAAACGCTGCGCTGTTGCGCTGCTGCAGCAGTGGGTAATGTTCTGACGAGAAGGGATAGCGTAATGTGAGTACGTTTGGTGAGAAGGGTCGCTCGGCTGTAACATGATGTCATATGTTTATGATGCAGGTCAGTTCATATCTCCTGAAAGGGTCCACGAAAACCTCTTCAAAACCAGTAACAAAATATTTCTGAAGCCTTCTCAGCCAGCGGTCAGGCGGTACAATAAGATACGCTCACTCGTTCAGAAGGCAAAGATGACAAAGCGGCTGCTACGAAAGGAGAAACTTTTACGGAAGAGGCTGGCTGAAAAGGGGCTCGATTATGACTTCCCAGGGTTTGTAAGTTGGGCATCGTTTTGATGAGTGTTTTATGCAAAACGTGTTTCTAAGGTTGTGCTAAATACAAGACAGTCACGTGTTTTGTGTGGAACTGGTGAAAGCGCTGGAGCACGGGGGAGCCTTGCTGGCGTTAAGAACTGTGCAGAAGCTGCTGGCAGTCGGCGTCGTGCTGTCGCTGGGTTGCGCTGTGTGTATGGGGGGGTTACTTTAGAGAAGCAAATAGGTAGCAGCAAAGGGGAGACGTTCCTTTTCTGTTGTTAGTGTAAGCAGTTGGGTATCCCGTGGTTTTCATACTTGTCTGTAGATCAGAGAAGAGCGACGGGGCTTTGCCCGGGCCCTGTGGGGGGCTTTGGCAGGGTAGGTATTTGAAGGCAGGTCCCAAGACTAGAGCTTCCATCCCTAGGCCTTGCCTAAGCTAACCGAGCGTATTGCTCATTTGCAGAGTGCTTGGGTGAAGTACTAGAATTTTAAACAATGCCGTTTAATGTGGCATTTTTTAAAAATGCACAGTACCAGCCTTTCTTACGTTGCTTTGGGTGTTTTTGTTCAAACCAGATTACCTCCGTGGCACTGTAAGTCATTTCATTAGTTCAAATCTAATTGCTGTAGCAAAGATTTTGTGGTTATGAAGCAAAGAAACCTGTAGACTGTTAAGTGATTGCGTCTTCACACAGGGAAGTTTGTAGTGATCCGCCTGATCTGTCTTGTTTCCTAGGCTGCACAGGAGCTTTCCATAAAGAGGAGAAAAGTTAAAATGCCCAAGAAGTCAAAACTGAACATTTCTTTGAGCAGCCAGGTAAGACCAAACAGCCCTGGTGGTGCCCAGCAACACGCCCCACTGTTCACACTGGGGAAGGTGTTTCAGGTCTGCAGCTGGTTTCTTCCTATTAATTTCAGCACCTGGAAACCTGGGTAGCACTTGCTTGGGAAATTTTTGTGCCCAAAGTAGCTCCTTTGAGATGGATTAACAGTCTTGAATGGGGGAGGGTGGTTGGATCCTCTCAGTTCTTTCTCCTGTGGGAGTATTCGACAGCAAAGGCCTCTGCTTGCCCTGTTGTAACTAGCAGTGCTTGTCCCGAGGCGTGGCCAGGCAGCGGCGCCTCTGCTGTCAGCCCCTGCTGTTCAGCACTAGCTTGGGGCAGGAGAAGTGCAGGTTGTTGGGGACCAGCACCCGTTCACCACCTACATCTGCGCTTCAGGCTGGTACGAAACGATCCCCTTACTGGCGCCCTTCTGTTGGTCTGCGCTACGTTACAAAACCAGCACCTTTTAACAAAAAGGAAGTTGAGCATCAGAGCTGAGGTTCGGGGCACTGACAGTCTGAAAAGCCTGTCAGGTTTTAACATTTCTGTTTCGTTTCATCACCGTTGTGAGTTTGGTGTTGGCTTTTTTTACTGTTACTGGATTTACTTGTGATAATTGGGATGCGGCGGGTTGTGAGGAAGACAGAGTAACTCATACATTCAGTCAACTGATTTCTGAGAACTTACTGAGATAATGAAGCTGGGACGTTTCAGCTCTGCTGAATGTGGCAGTTTGAATGTGCCACTTCTGTATGCCAGCCTCAGATATGCTTCCCCCCCGCCCCGATTCCTTTCCTCTTGGCTTTCTCAGTGCTTTGAGTTAGGAAATACAAAGTTTAGAAAGCGATGTGCATAATGACATGTTAGAAAATGTGAATTAATTTACTTTTGCCTTTCACATATGCTTTTTTGAAGATGACACTTTTGTCTGAAAAAACACTGTCTACAAAAATACCTAGTTATAAAAGGAAAACAATTTTCCCCAACCTGTGGAAGTTCTGAAGGAGAGCCAGGCTGAGCTGCTGCCGGTACCACAGAGGCAGTGACAACTTTCTCTGGCAGGTGCTTTGCAGTGAATCGTGTTTTTCTGATCTCTTCAGGATCCTACTCCAGTCTGCACCCCAACAGTGCTCGAGCGCCGGAAAGCTGCTCAGGGGGATGATGACGCAGAAGACAATGAAATAACTCTCAGACTGCCCCCGGCCGGTGTTAAAAATGCTGCACAGAGACCAAAGAAGCAGCCAAGGAAAAGACGAAACCTGAAGAAACAGAAATAGACTTAAAATTTTGATGGCTGTAGCTGTGTTTTTCCTCAAGTCAAAAATGGGCAAGGTGGAGCTTCTCGTGGTTCTGCTGCCCTGGCCCGGTGCATCTTGAAGAGGCTGTTTCAGTCTTCCCTAGGCAAGGAATCTATTCACAAATCCTCCCCCTCCTGTTAAGCCATCAGGGGAGCTACAGTCTTCTCTGCCTTTGAAGATATTTCTGACTCAGTGCTCACAAGCGCCTGTGCTGTGACACGCCTACCGTCCTGCCAGAACCTTCAGTTAATTCTGTAACTTGGCTCTAGTGCTCATTGTTTTGAAAGAAAACGTGAGGTTGTCCATTCAGAACCTGCTGATTCGGTCTGTATCTTGCATTTATAATTAATGACGGGTTATAAAAAAAAAAAAAAAAAAGTAACTGTTTTTCAATTGCGTTGGCTCTTGGTAGTGGTTCTTCGGATTAACTGAATGTCTGCGTTTCATGCGCGTTCTCACATAGTTACATAAATAGAGGGCGAGGGATTTTTTTCCCTAAGGAAGACACACCTTGAATTTCTTCTGTTTCTGATCAGTCAATTCTGTCTGTACTGTCCAGGGCAGAGGCAGAACACCATGCTGCCTGAGTAAGCCAGTGCCTTTTGACCCTGCTTTCAGCAGTGCCTGGAAACTCAGCCTTTGCCAGGATGTGGTGTGGTTGCTGCGGACTTGGAAAGGACTGGGATTAGGAGGGTGGTAAGAGAGAGAGGGAGATGGCTGAAGTCACTCATGTTCAAGATTCCCATTCCTTTCCCTTTGCAGGCAAAAGATTTGTGTTTGAGAGTGCACCCTGCTGTGGAGGACGTGGGGCAACTCTTCTGTTGGCTGGTGGCTTAGCCAGAGTCACAGCTACACTCACTCTTCACACGCTTGTGCAAAAGGTGCTTCACGCTGCAGAGTGCCAGGCTGCTGTACTGCTTTACCTCTGGGCTGACCAGGCAGAGGTAACGCTAATTCCCTGGGGTTTTGTGTGCCACAAACGTGCTGTTGCCTGGTTCAGAAAATGTTCAAGGACCAAAAGCGTGGCTGCTTTTGGAAGGACTTCTTGCTGAATGGTGGCGGGGAGCAAATGGTGACAACTAGCTTATGTACAGCTGCCCTCAGCTAAGCACGGCTCTTCAAGAAGATGCATCAGTAATGGAGCACTCTGGGCCCTATTAGGAGTTCTGCTGTCCTTTGAGCGCTGCATCATCTTCTCATTGTATTTTAGTTCCGCTGTCCGCATGAAACAAGGACGTCTTCTGCTTCAGGGGGGTGGTAAACACGTTGCAATATTGAAACAAGCCTCTGGGTGGGTGAACCAGGAATAGCAAGGCAGGGTTTTGTTACCAGTAGTACGAGTCCAGACAATTGACAACTTTTGTTATGCATCAAGATTTATTCTTGTGCATGAAGATTTATTCTTGTTCCAACGTAACCTGTCATAGCTGTATGCAGATATCCAGTCCTGTTCGAAGATGTGGTTTGACTGTGCAATTAGAATTTGGATTTTTTTGCAAATCTGAGACCTGCAGAAATTCCAGTTTGGGTTTTGTGGCACGTACTTAGCCTTGATCTCTCATTGTCTGAGATGAGACGCTCTCTACTGCTGTTGGCTGTAGGTCAGGCTTGGCAGAAGATTTCAGAGGAAAGCCCAGGTGATAACAACCGGCTGCTCAGGTAGGCGGCTGGCACCAATTTCTTGGCTATTTTAAGACTCAGACTCCTGGCAGAGGAGAAGAAATCTGAACCATTGGCCTGGCTAATTCTGTCCTATCTGGCCTGATCACTTGAATAATCATGTGATCATAGTGACATTCTCTCTCAGTGACTCAAATTAGATCGTTCTCCTTTGTCGCTCTAAACTGTTGGGGAAGCCGCTTGGATGAGCATGTCTTTATAGCAAACGCTTGTCATCTCAGGCATGCTAAGGGAAATCTGTTGACCAGCCCGATGGTCGCTGACAGTCATTGCCTCCTAGTAGCAGTGTTGCTGTGTACATCTGCAGGCTTTCTTCTCTGTGCATTGTTTGGTGTGAAACTGGCAGTGTTTACACCTCAACCCCCTGGAAAATACATCCTCAGCTAAGGTTTGAGATAAACCTGATCAGAGTGGTTGGCAGAAGTTGCTTATCTGTTAGTAACTGACACGCAGCTCTGAAAAAACTTTTCTACCTTGACTTCATACAGCAGAGAGCAGCAGAAGAGAAGCAAAAATGCATCTGCCCAGAATGGACAATTTTCTTTTAAAATCCATATTCCTAACTTTGTGTTGTGCAAATAAAGATGGCTGTTTGCTCAAGATGAACTAGAACTGTGGCTGCATTTTCTCCTGTGTGGAGCTGAGCCTGTTGGGAGCAGTCTGACACTGGGGGGCAGCAGGCTTCAGTTGTGTGGGCACATGCTGCCCTCTGGCAAACGCAGCACAAGGTCTCCTGGGAAATGGCCTCCTGGATTTATAAAGAAACCTGCGAGTCCAGGCAGTTTGGAGCGACTGGCTGCGTTGGCATGACTAACGCATCTCTAACACGATTTAAGAACACAGGAGAAAGCTGGTATGGATCTTAATCAAATACGCCCATTTCTTTGGTGTTGCCACAAATGCTCTTTTCAAGGCTGTTGAGTTAAAGCTGCTCTTAAAACTTAGTTTATTTAGAGGGTCTTCTCCAGTGCAGTTCCACGTTCACTGAAGCTTGAGCAGCTCCCTTCCTGTGCTCCCCATTCCAACCCCTTGGCCTGCATTTTGAACCTGGAGTTGCTTTCTTCCCACGTTGCTGCTGTTACTGTGCTCCTCTCAGTGCCCTATGTTCTGGCCCTGCCCGGAAGCCTGTGCCTGCTTGCTGCTTTCTTTGTGTTTGACTCTCTGGCTTCTTTTCGAGCTGCTTGCTGTGCCTGGGCTATCCTGTCGAGCTGCATGAGCTTCAGGGACTTGGGCTTCTGCAGATCTCTTGGAAAGGTTTGTGCCTTTGAGCTAGCACCCTGGTGGCTGCTTGCTCTCCATATTCACGTGGCAGTGTGAGCCTTGGTGGGAAGACGTTCAAGAAAGCTGTGCTTACAATAACGTTTGCTTCCTGCTGTGATTTTCCTTTCCCTTCCTTTTGTTTATTGGTCTTCCTTCAATTGAGATCAGCTTAGATGGCAAATCTGAAAAGCAAGGAAACAAAATTCTGTGCTGTTTGAGTAAAGCAGAACAATACCCAGGCTACAGCGAGGAACTGAGCAGAAGGGTAGCTGTTCTTGGTGATAGCTTCTGGTTTTAGGCTGCCCGCGTTATTAATATACTGCTGTCCTGGGAGATGTACATAAGCAGAAATTCGAACACCTGATACTTGCCAAACATAGTTTCCGTAGCAAGTGGACAGACGTGCTGTGTCATGAGTTATGCCTCAGTCCTTGCACTGGTTTTTATTTCTCAGTTCTCCGGTCATTTGCTCATTCATCTCGGACAAACACAAACCTCCTGGCCACTGATTTTTGGGGTGGGATGTGAGGAGTTCTTACTGGGATGCTAGCAGCGGTGGGGCTTTGGTTTCAAGGCTTGACTTGCAAGCTCTCTGCCTTTCTGTAATGAATGACTTTGTGGAGCTGGATTGCTGAACACCTATGTATGTAGTGCCGTTTTCAAGCTTCAGGAACACTTAGGTGCTAGCACAGTTTGCTAATCTAGGCTCTATTCCAATTTCTCTTTTGCAGGAAGGGGAGCTGGGCTTAGGATTGCACAGCATTTCCCAGCACATGAAGCACTGGACATAAGAGGAATGGGGGTGGAGAAAGAAAAGCAGAATTGGCTGCAAAATAGAGGGGAGAAAGGAATGATGAAGCCAATGCTCACCTCTAGAGAAAAAGGTGTTGGCGAATTTGGCAAAGTTGGACTACTTGAAATTAAAGAAGCAGTTTGATGTTCTTTTGCCTGTTGGAAGTGCTGTGGGATGCCCAGGCTGTGCAGTGTGTCGGGAGCGTGCTGCAAACTGTGGTCCAAGTGCTAGTCCTTGCTCATGAGCCCTGAGTGGAGGAGAGCAGGCTGGGCAAGTGACACTTGCTCTTGCCAGTAACAAGCCTGTTTGCTTGCATACCTGGCTTTTAAAATGGCTGCAGCCCCGAGGAACAAGACTAAAACCTGTCTGCAAATAGCTCATGGTGCAAGGGAGGATTTGTGCATGGCTCCGAGGTGTGACATCCTCCCCTCTCCAGGTGAAGCACCAGCAAGGCAGAGGGTAGCTCTAGAAAATTCCTCCTCTCCCAACTTTCCCTTCAGAGCGCCGGGGTGTTTGGTTCTCGCTTTGCCTGTGAGATGCAGCCAGCCAGGGTAGGGCTGTGTTGTGCGAGGGCGCTGTGCACGTCCCTGCCCTGGGCAGGGTGTTGCAGGTGAAAGCCGTGCAAAAGGAGAACAGGAGTATGGGGGATGTGATCTCCATTAGGCATTTTCCAGGAGTACCTGTGAGTCCTCTTCTTGGACCAGACTCCTTCATTGTCCAAGATGCTGTCCAAACACATCCTGTTTTCCAGAGTTTACAATCTAACCCGCACAGTCTTGAAACGTCCAACTCCAGGCAGCAATAATCTGCACCTTCTTGGCCAGAGGTATGTGGGGACCACCCCAGGGTGCTGCTGGAGCGGCAGCTGCGGGGAGGGCCCTTCTGGCACCGCTAGCCCAGGCGCATCCCTCCCTGCCCAAGGCCAGCAGCTGTCAGAGCCAAGGAAGTGGTTAACTGCATGAGTGAGAATTGCTGAAGTGAAACATTTTCTCCCATGCCGGGTGCAGCAAGGCCTCTCATCACTTCTCCCACCCAGCATTAATTAAGCATATGGCAGGGACAGAGATGCTGGCTGTCCCGGGAGGCTGCGGCCAGTAACCATGTGGATCTCCTGTGCTGGGAAAGGACAAGCTACAGAGAAGCTCCTACACAAGGCTTGGCTCTGATCAGGGAAGAAAATGCCAGTTTATAATCGTCTTCAAATGTGGTGTTGAAGAGAGCAGCCAGGATTGGGAGGACAAATGCTGCAGGACTTTGAGACAGCAAGGTGGGTGTCTGCAGTGAGTCATGGCACGTTTGACCCTGCACTTGACCCACCACATAGAGTCCAGGGCCTGGCCTGGATTGAAACTTGTTTTAAAGAATGGGAAGGAGAAAACCAAATAAAACTGTTTTTTAGGATAGTGATTCTGGAAAGACCTGTTTTTTTCTGTGCATTTTCCAGTGCTGACTGAGAGAAGGGCTTGCTGAGCAGGTACAGACCTGGAAGTCAGGCTGCTTGCTCCGCAGTGTGGCATGGCTGCCAGTTCCCTGCCAGTGCTTGCATGTGTTTTGGTTTCTTTAAAAGGAGCAGGGAAGTAGGGTTACTTCTGTCAGGGTGGCTTTGCAAGGGTGAAAGCGGTGCACCGTTTTGAGAGTGAAGGCCGTACCGTGCCTCTCTGTCTTGCTCGCGGGGTGTGCTCAGAGTTACAGTTTCTCGCCCGCACGCCCTGCAGAAGGCAGTCGCGCGGTGGGGAGTGAGCCGGGGTCTGTGCCAGTTGCACAGCAGCACAGCTGCTTTGTCGCCTGCAGGATTTTTATTTCTGTTGATGTGAGAGCTGGAAGGGATCCGGTGTGTCTCAGGTGCTGGGCTGCGTTTGCAGGCCTGCCTGTTAGAAGGGCTGGGTTCATCTGCCCAGAAGCGATGGGCAGAGGAAATGTACAACAAATCTATAAGGCTTTTCCCTCAGCTGTCCCCCACAAAGACACGATGTTTGTGGTTTATTAGCTGGGCGATGCTTAAAGTGCATTCTATTGAATTGTATCCTGAAAAACAAACCCCAGGTTTGGAGCTGCTGGAGCTGCGCAAGTGGAAAGGACTAGCTTCTGTATGGATTCTCCTGAGCCAGACCTGTCCTTTGGTGTAACGTCAATGCAGCCACATCAGAGGAATCACAGCCCAAGTTTTTATCCTGAGAACTACTAGCTCAGCCTTTTTTCCCCGTCAGCTCATAATTTTACAAGATGAAATCCTGCCGTGTTAATATGTAGTATAGATTCAATCAGTCCGTTGTTAAGAATCATTTGGAGTTGGTGATTTGGACACTCAGTGTTGAGCGGGCTGCCGGTACGTGTTTGCTGTGTTGCTGTTCAGTGTCAGCCCTCCCGTTGCATTTTGTGAGAGCTTCCATCAATTTCAGTAGAAATGTGCATTTGGGGTGAAGGGTGACCTAATCTTTAAAAAGGATCTTAATCCACTTAGCCTCTCTTGCAAAGCTCAGCACTTTTTCCTTGTCAGGAGCAGACTGCATTCCTAACCTTGATGTGTCGCTTTCCAGCTGGCTTAATATTTGGGTGAGGATAAAAAGGAAATGTTTTTCAAAGATTAAAAGAATCCATGCTGCTAAGGTATGTGCATGTGTGATGTGCAAGTATAAAAAAGGAGTTACGAGCATAATTGTAAGTGTTTGGGTGGTGGAAAAAAAAAGATAAAATAACGCCAGCAGATGACTATATTAAATAAGCACAGGAAG